AGGCAACGAAGAGGCGGTGGCCATCTCACGAATACCATGTAATGTGATTATGTATAAGGTCCGAACTAGTTAATAATAATTAATTGAAGTTTAAAGATTAATATAATTATTTGATCTATTGCTTTATCGTTCTATACTCAGATTATTAATTCTAAATAATTGAATTATAAGATAATATAAGTATTGATTCTTAATGATTTAAAGTCTTACCTGAAGATTTTTCTTGTTCTAATGATAACTTTTGACAATATCAGGTTATAATAAAATAACACGAACTCAAATGTTTAGTTTATAAGTTAACAATTAAGAATCTCACAATGATGATTACGAACTTGGCGTATCGATGTCGAAAGCACGGTTCGACCAGCTCAATGAATATTTAGAGACAGACTCTCTTTAAGCCTTCCGCACTCAGCCCCTTTATAGTATTCCCTTTTATCCCCGCACAATCATCATTGTGTCATTCTCGCAATGTTGCTATTTTATTGACAAGTCATCATAAAATATATGAATTAATACATTAAATACATAAATACATGCGAATAATACACAAATCATTTTGACACTTCATATAATATTATTATAGCTAGTTAAAAAGAGCTGACAAGTATAATTTGTGAATTTGCTCAAAGAAAAAGAAACAAACATGTTATTCTAAGCTTATGAATATAATTTATAAATAAAAGTGTTAATAATTTTTAAATGACCATTATTATGGCCACAAACAGAGCAGTCCTCTGTTATATTATATTGTGATAGTGTCGAGTGTATTATGACATATAACTGTTATTTTAAAAAAAAATCAGCTAAAAATATTAACTGGATCAAAAGTTATTTAAGTTGTCAGTGAGTGGTGGGCCACCCTGTATATAATCAAGGTTAACTGTATCTGTGCAAGCCAAGGCCTTATGCTGAGCCACCACAGTCTTGTTGACTATATTTTGAATAAAGGTAGACATATTTTTAAAATTATATTTTGATAAGTTCAGAATAAGTTTTAAGATAATCAATATCGACTATAAGGAATTTATCAAATATATTATTAGTCAAACCTAGTATAATTCTAAAAGTATAAAAAAATAAAAATCATAATAGACAAAGTTTCCATTGGAGTGAATATTTTTAAACGCGTTTTTTATGAACGCAGTATTTTGTCAAGGTAATGAAAACAGGAATTGATGATTAAGATTTAATATTTACATAAACAAAAAAATCTATAAACGATTGTTAACAATGAACCGAGAAGTTAATAAAAGATTAATTCGAATAACTATTAAAGGAAATAAAAGTAAACGCCATAATTTATTTGCATCTTTATTTATTACATTAATTAGACAATTAAAATCATTCATTATTTATTGTTTTTAAATTAAATGTCGAATTAAATTTTAAATGATAATAAGTTTCTACAAAGTTAAATACTTTTTCTTTATTATTTATTAATTTCTTGACACTATGTGTGTAGTCTACTATAAGTATATAATGTTCCAAAATTTTAACAATATGTCACTTTATAAATTATTTCTAAGAAAGTGATTTTTGGTTTTACATGATTTTAACAATGGATTGTTCCAATTATAATCAATTTTTATTTAGATTTTTTCATTTTTCGAAATATTTAACTAGATATTGATTAACAATATCATAATTTGATATTTGAATAAATAATGAACTATTAGAATTTTTTAGAATTTTATTTTAGCATTTAAAGTTACACTTTGAATATATGACATATAAATTGTGAATTACAAAAAAATGTAATACCTATTATTTTTAAATAGGTAACACAATATACAAACTTCAAAAACTACGTCCAATCGACTAGCATGACAATAAATAGTAAAAATATATCTCCAAGTTAAAAATGGACCGTGGGTGGATAAAAGGTTATGAGTCCAAACTGTTTAGTAGATTGTTTTAAACTATTAATATGAAATTTTCCTTTTAAATGCTGTTTTAAGAACAAAATTATGATTAAACTTTTTTATAAGTGTGTTAAATATTTATAACAATATGCAATAAAGTAGACGCCAATATGAACTTGACATATAATAAAATTTAACTGATACACCGTTCAAAAAACAATGTTAGTGGGTTTTTCTAAACATGTACTAAAAAACAAATGAAATACTATTAATACTAGAATAATTAAAAAAAGGTTTGGAGCAAGTGAAATAAAAATAGCATAGATTCAACAATAAAGTAAAGAACGAGATCTAAATTACTTTAAAGCAATAAAAATATTAATGAAATACAATAAATGATTAGACATAGCAATTACAATTTAACATTTAATAGTAATTGTAATATAGGTATTTTTTGATCAGGAGTGCCACCACGTAAGATATATTCAATAAATTCTTGGATCGTTTTCAGATATTTTACTTTACCAAATCTTAGATTAAAAAATTGTGACTGGAACTCTAATAATTTTATCATTACATCGCCTAAATCGTATTTATCTAAAAAATATAACAATATAAATAAAATAATAGATTTTTTATAATAATTTGTTAAATAATTACGTTCTTCCCGAATAATACTCTTCCAATCATTCAGTAAATCATCCTAAAATATAAAAAATAGTTTATTATTAAACTAGCCCCTAACAGTAGATAATAAATAATTGTATATTATTTGAATAACGTTAAAAATTCATTATTAATGTATATTTTTTAAATATCTTAGTTATTTCCTTTATATTAGATATTGTTAGCGCGAGTCACACTATAGTATGGTCTTTTATCTTGGTTTGGCTGGTCAGCAATGTGTCTTTTAGTATTAAGTCTACTCAGTGTACGTTCCACCGCTGAACCATCAGCGACGCGCTCCAATATTAATCAAGGTTACATTTGTATTTAAATATTTTCATGTAAGTTTTAATTATAAATAAAATTAAGGAACAAATATTTTGTACATTTTATTTATTCATGTTAAATTTAATATTCATTACATTAATCAAACAAATTAAAAAATTTTATATCAAAAAAATAAGGTTAATTGAGCGTTCGATTTTTTAACGGTTAATAATCCCGTTCACCAACAGATATATATATATATTTGAAAACATAAACCTTTATCTGCCCAAAAGGGGATTTAAAATTGCAGCTTTTCACAAAAAGGTAACTTTTTCAACTTAACTTTTGAAAATGTTCCTAAAATATTCTGAGCATTAAACAATGTTAAATTTACGATTATAAATATTATACATAAATGGTTTCAGTTGTTTAAAAACATATTGTTTTTGCGTTAACATTTTTTATTTCATATTTTATTTTTTTGACTTTATATTAGTATTAATTTATGAAAAATGTATGAACTAATAGATATTTTTGTTTGTGTGTATTTCTAAATTATTAGTAAAATTTTATTAGTTCAATTTTGAATAGATTTATTGAATTATTTCAAAAACAATATCAACTTCTATTTTCTTAATTATTTCATGAATACCAGTTTTATAATTTTACAAGTACAATACATGAGTTAATACTTATTAAAGTAATTAAATAAAGTATGAAATTTATATATAATAATAGTAATTTACGGAGAAATTATAAAAAGTTATAAAATTGTTTTATATAGAGTTTTTGTTTGTTTTTTTTATCTCTTATACCATATAAAGTTGGGTAACCGAACCTAAATGCATATAAAATAATCGCCAAGTTGTAAAATTGAACATTTTATAAAATACCAGATTTTTTATAAATTTTTAATGTTTTAAATTTTTCAGGGAAGGATTAAGAAACTTTATGCTCAAGATCAAATGCCTTCCTTTTTAGTAAATAGAAAATATAATAAAAATAAGTCTATTTCATTTTTCTCTGATTAAAGTTTAAACGAATTCAAGACAAAATATGAATAAATTTGTTTTTATGCCAACATTTTTGTTTAAGCGTCACGTGTTTATCCAATTTAGTTTGAACTTTGCAGATATTTTATATAAATAAAATAAATAAAAAATGACTCGGGGCTTTAAAAATGCAATAAAAAAATTTACTACCCTGGAAGATAAATTATGTATTAATTACTCATATAAAAATGAATTATTTAATACACATTTAAAAAATCACAATCAATAAATGTACACTATCGCAGAAGGAGGACGAAAACGATAAAAGGTCAACTAACTCAGATTATTATCTAAAAAGGAGATAACACAGTCGATTACTAGTATAATATCATTAAGCTAAGCCCTCCTTAACAATAATATTTAGTAAAACATTTAAAACTAATTCTTAGTGTTAGACCAATCTTTAAAAATAAATTAAGAGCCGGGTTTTGTCAAAAGTTATTATGTCTAAACATATACGATCTAAGTCATAACTTAAAGTTCGGATACCGTCAAGTATATATTTATAATAATGAAATAATAAACACTCTCATGATTTATGATTACTTAAATTTCTGTTAGGTTCGCAAACTAATTGGGCAATATCAAAGAGCTACTCTAACTTCGATGCGAAGATGAGAAGATATTAATTTTACCATTATGAGTTTTTTTTTTTTTTATATGCTGTTGCCACTGTTTCTCAGCTCTCATTAGGCCGATTTCTTTTAACAATACGTCTAAAGATCACAAATCGTATCTAGTTTAAGTAAATACACTTAAAAATAAAAAAAAATTCCACCGTTCTCATCAAACGGGGGAAATCTCTAAAAAAATTACAATTTTTTAAATCGGTAAATTTCGTTATTTTTTCCACTTTTTTTTCTTAAAACTTCTATAACTTTTTCAAAAATTAACAAATCAATATAATTTTTTTTATTCTAAAATCTTAGATATTATCCATTCATTTGATATCATTTTTTTGAATATCTAACACTAAACCTGGAAGGATTTAAAATATCAACTTTTTTACAAAAACTAATTTTATCAACTTAAATTTTAAAAATGTTTTGGAAATACTGCGTCCTTTACACATATATCAAATTAAAGCTTATTTTATGTACTACAAAATGAAAAAAAAAATTTGTCCCGAAATTTTATCTTCTGCATGCAAACGGCTGCCGTAGTACAAAAACGCTATTTTTGTGTTAAAATTTTCGATTTTAAATTTTCAACTTAAAAATTCTATAACTTTTTGAAGAATGTATATATCATCACAAATTTTTTTTCTAAATACATTATAAGTACATCATTTATTTGACATATTTTTTTATAAAAGTGGACAATTTGCCTTTATATAAGGGGCGTTCAAAACTGAAATATTCTATAAAAAATAGAATTTTTTCAACTTAACTTTTGAAAATGTTCCGGAAATAATGCGTCTTTTAATCATATACCAAATGAAAGCTAAAATCACGTACTATAAAATTAAAAAAAAAAATTGTTACCGACGATTTATCTTCTATCAGAAAATAGCCGTCAAATTTAAAGAAAAATGTAATTTTTATGTAAAAATCACTGTATAACATGAACTATTTGATTACTTAATATTACCATAACTTTTTGAAAAATGAACAAATTCAAATATTTTTTATTTATATCGAAACCTTTGATATTTTTCTTTCATTAGATATAATTTTTTTCAAAATTTGACTTTTAATATGTCTAAAGGGGTATTGCACATTTTTGGAAACAAGTTATGCTTTTTGAATTTAATTTTTGAAAATGTTCCGGAAATATTGATACTTTTATTTTATCTTAAATTAAAACTTATGTTACATACTTAACTATGAAAAAAAATCGAAATATAGAATATTTTCTTCGTGAAAATGACTACCGTATTCAAAAACATGCTAATTTTGTGTTAAAATTCCGGTTTTTATATTTCATTTTGTTTTAAAATATCGAACAAAGGAAATACATTGACTTTCATGAATATTATAAAATTAAATTGACATAGCATGAAGTTCATAAGTTATAAAAAGTTAAACTTATTTAATTTTGTTTGCTATTTTTTTTAAGTTGAAAAAATTCTATTTTCGTAAGTTACATAAAAAATTTGTATAATTCAAGTTTTGAAACATCCCTGTTATTCATTAAAAATTTTCAATTTTCAAGGGCAATTTTTTATCTAGACATGATTTTTGATTTTTTAACATATCGTTGAAAGAAATCGGACCGGTGAGAGCTGAGAAAATGTGGTGACAAAAATAAAAATACATATCACAGTAAAATTAATTTCTCTCAGCTTCGCATCGAAGATAATACTTAAAAAAATATAAATTAAAATTGTAATATTTAAAAAAAATTTGTTAAAATAAAAACAAAATTATGTTTTATAATTTAATTTTGAATACAGAATAAATGAATTAAAATGATTAAATATTTACAATTGTTTTTATTAATATAACCATTTTTTGATGACATAAATTTATATGCTATAGCTAAAAATACATACAAATTAAGGAAAAGCCGAATTTTATTGAATAATAAATTTTAAAATATCTATTTCAGAAATAATTTAATATACCAAGGGCAAGACCCAAATTATTTTAACTCAAAAGAGATCAGACCGCTTTTGGACCCTGGCAGGTCATTATATCTATATTATATACCATTTAGTAAAATACGCATCACATCATCGAATGATTCATGTAAAAAGAACAATTAAATAATTAATATGTCATATTAATTTTTCAAAATCACCATATTTATCAATTTTAACCAAAAAATTCAGAAACTTATCTATTTTACTTGTCTTTTACTTATTAATCTTGATATCTTTTATACATAAAATCATTGATATATTTAAAATAATGATTAGAAAATATCGTTTGCTATCATAATACATCTTGTTAATAATTTGGATTTACTGAAAAATTACACATAAAAGATTCTAAATTCGTTAGTCAAATTGGTATGTATTAACTTGAATAAGATTATCTATAAAAAAAATAAAACGTAAATAAAATTAAAATTACATTTCGTAGAAGATCACTGTAGTCAATTGAATTAATCAAATTATAGTAATTCTCATAGTCTATAAAACCAATGTCTTCTAAGCCAAGTTCACGAAAATGACCGAACACTCTTTCTAACTCATTTTTATCCAGTTTTATTATCTAAAATTTCAAAATAGTTTACTACTGAGTCAGGTAAATAGATAATAAACTAATTAATATATGATTTTACTTCTTTTTGATCACCAGGTAGAGTTATACTATCACCTACTTTATCATATTTATGCATAAAGTATAGAATCTTGTAAACTCTTTTATATTCATTATCTATAAAATATAAAACACTTTAAATATATTAAAAGTATGTAATCTTACATAGATTTTCTCCAAAATTAATAAAAATCTAAAAAAGTGTCTCAAATAAAAAGTTAATATCATAACTAATTAACATTCAATTTTTTTACACATTATTAGCTTCGATGAGAAGCGGAGAGGGTATTAATTTTACTATGATGTGTTCTTTTTTTTTTTTTACAAACTTCAGTTTGTAAATTCATATTTAGTTTATATGCCATAGGATTTTTCGCATAAACAATATGAATGATTTTAGCTTCGATGCGAAGATGAGAAAGTATTAATTTTACTATGATGTGTTTTTTTTTTTTTTTAGCTTCGAAGCGAAGCTGAGAAGGTATTAATTTTACCATGTTGTGTTTATTTTTTTTTTTAATTTTTTATTATTTTTTTTTTTTTTGTGTCTGTCACTACTTTTTCTCAGCTCTCACTGGACCGATTTCTTTTAACAATACGTCAAAAGATCACAAATTGTATCTAGTTGAAGACATTACCCTTAAAAATTTAAAAATTTTCCCTCGTTCCCCGCAAATGGGGGAAATATCCAAAAAAATTACAAATTTAAAAATTGACAAATTTTGTCATTTTTTTCACTTTTTTTTCTTAAAACTTCCATAACTTTTTGAAAAATAAACAAATCAACATAATTTTTTTTCTACTAATACCTTAGATATTTTTCTTTCATTTGATATCATTTTTTTGAAAATCTAACATTTAACCTGCTTATTGGGGGGGATTTAAAATTTTTTTACAAAAACTAACTTTTTCAACTTAATTTTTGAAAATGTTTCGGAAATACTGCGTCTTTTAAACATAAATCAAATTACAGCTTATGTCATGTACTATAAAATAAAAAAAAAAAATTTGTCCCGACATCTTATCTTCTATGTGCAAATGGCTGTCGAAATTTAAAAAAAAATGTAATGTTTACGATAAAAATCACCTTCTATCGGAATGTTTTTTGTACTTAAAACTCCCATAACTTTTTCAAATATTAACTAATCAAAATAATATTTCTTTATATTGAAACCTTAGGTAATTTTCTTTCATTTGATATCATTTTTTTTTGAAAATCTAACACTTATTCTGCTCACAGGGGGGATTTAAAATAGCAACTTTTTTACAAAAACTAACTTTTTCAACTTAATTTTTGAAAATGTTCCGGAAATACTGCGTCCTTTAAACATATATCAAATTAAAGCTTATTTTATGTACTATAAAATGAAAAAAAAAAATTTGTCCCGACACCTTATCTTCTATGTGCAAATGGCTGTCGAAATTTAAAAAAAAATGTAATGTTTACGATAAAAATCACCTTCTATCGGAATGTTTTTTGTACTTAAAACTCCCTTAACTTTTTTAAATATTAACAAATAAAAATAATATTTTTTTTATTGAAACCTTAGGTAATTTCCTTTCATTTGATATCATTTTTTTTTGAAAATCTAACACTTATTCTGCTCACAGGGGGGATTTAAAATAGCAACTTTTTTACAAAAACTAACTTTTTCAACTTAATTTTTGAAAATGTTCCGGATATACTGCGTCCTTTAAACATAAATCAAATTAAAGCTTATTTTATGTACTACTAAATGAATAAAAAAAATTTGTCCCGACGATCTATCTTCTATGCGCAAAAGGCTACCGTATTCAAAAATATGCTATTTTTTTATTAAAATTCTGGGTTTTGTATTTTCTTTTATTTTAAAATATCTTATTAGGGGAATAAACTGACTTTCATGAATATTATATAATATCATTGACATAGAATAAAGTTCATAAGACATATGAAATTATACTTATTAAAATTTTTTTACTTTTTTATAGTCGAAAAAGTAATTTTTAAATTTGAGTTAGCTTAAATAGCCAATTTTATCATGCAACAAAAAGCAACGAACAGTTGCCGAATGGGTAACACCTTGATCTTTAACGCCTAGGGTACGAGGTTCAAATCCGTTTGTGGCTTCTNCTAGGGTACGAGGTTCAAATCCGTCTGTGGCAATTAATATTTAGCATTTTTTTTTTGAGTTAAAATAGAATTTTCAAATCATTTGATATTTATCTCATTTAGATTCAATAATTTCAATAAATATAAAGGATCTTATCTCTATAGTTTCCCCTCCTGAGAAGAAATTGATATTCATGTTAATATTATTTTACTATGTGGTTCTTTTGTGGCTACAATTTATTTTGCCAACCCTCACTAGACCTACTTTTTTCAACGATACGTCAAATGATTCATTTAAGTTTATGATATTTAAGTTATTACTCTTAAAAATCAAAAAAATATTCCTTATTCAAATAAAAAGTAGCTTAACCAGCTTTTTCCATACAAACAATTAAAATCATTAATTTTTAATATTCTTAAAGTATTTATTGTCGAATTAGATTTGATATGATAAAAGTATTCAACTACAAAAGTAAATAATTTTACTTTATAATTTATTAATTTTTTAACTCTATTTATGTGTGCTACTACCAGTCTATAATATGCCAAATTTTTTTGTAATATGTTGCTATATAAATCATAAATTTAAAAAAAAAATGATTTTTAGTTTCACCTGAATTTAACGATGGATTTTTACAATTGTAATTATATTTTTGATAATACGCTCAATTGAGTAAATATTTTTAACTACTTTGGTTTGATTGGTTCATTTAATTAAAGTAAATTATTAAAATTAATTAAGTTCTGAATATTTCAATTGCAGAATTTTTTTAAACACCAAAAGTTATTAGGATATGATTACTATTCTTTCTATTTCAGTTATCTATTACGATAAAAATGTAAAAAAATCGAATTTTTCTGACAAATGTACTGTAATTAGTAATTATAAAATTTCCAGATTGCATATTAATCTTAAAAATTTCATTTTTTTCAATTTAATAATGTCAATTTCAAACTTGCAAGTTGAACTATAAGTTATGGTAACAAATTCATTTTTTAGCTTCGATGCGAAGCTGAGAAGGTATTTTTCATTAAAACTTTCACTTTAAAAGACAATAAAAAATAGGTTCAAAATGATTACCTTTAACATATTAAAAATCAAAATCAGTATTAATTTAATACAATTTTTTTTGTTCTTAATTATTTTTTTTTATATGTAAATACTTATTTTTTAATAATAAGTAATAATATTAAAACTTAGAAGTAATAGAAAAAGTTTAATTGCACATTTGAAAACATCACGAAAAGTTTATTTAGAAAAGTATATTTTTTTTCTGATGAAAGTTCCTTTTGTTTAGTGTATTTATTCATAAGTAACAAAATTTTTTTATTAAAAAGTATTGCATAAATTCCTTTAAATTTGTATACGCATTAAAAGTATATGAATATACAACTCCTTTTTATTTTTATAATATCTCCGTAAAAATTACAATATTATATTATTGAATACCACTTTCATACTCAATTTAATTACTGTAATTATTATGTATTCATATATTATAGTTATAAATCGGGGTAAAATTAAGGGAATAAGTGTTATTGTTGTTTTTGAAATAATCTACCAATTTCATTTTTTTCTATTTAATAATATTTATTTCAAACTTGCAAGTTGAGTTAAAAGTTATGGTAATAAATTCATTTTTTTTTTATTAAAACTTTCACTTTAAAGAACAAAAAGAAGTAGGTTCAAAATGATTACTTTTAACATATTAAAAATCAATAATAATTTGAAAATAATTAATTATAAAAATTATATAATATATAATTAAAATAATTACTAATCTGGATATAATTAAGGAAATAGGAGTTGATGTTGGGTTGGGTTGGTTACATTTTTAACTTTATAATGCTATAACTCATTGAAAAGTGTACGAATCAACACAATTTTTTTATGAGAAATAATATTTTTTAATAATCCCTTTTTCATTCGACATACTTTATCTTAATCAGGGTATTAATAAGAAACTAGCAGATAATGTAGCTTTTGTAATTATCCACCAATTTCTTAGAATTAAACACTATCTACTGATTTGCATCGAAGCGTTTCTTATGATAGTGATTTTAATCACTGTCAGATTAAATCTATACTGGACCCAACTATGCAACATCCCCACTATGCCGCGACCCCACTGTGCTGGGTTTTTTTTTTTTTTTTTTGTCTGTTGCCACTTTTTCTCAGCTCTCACTGGACCGATTTCTTTCAAAAATACGTCAAAAGATCACAAATCGTATCTAGTTGAAGACATTACCCTTAAAAATTGAAAAAAATTCCCTCGTTCCCCGCAAATGGGGGAAATATCCAAAAAAATTACAAATTTAAAAATCGCTAATTTTCGAAATTTTTTCACTTTTTTTTCTTAAAACTTCCATAACTTTTTGAAAAATCAACAAATCAACATAAATTTTTTTTATACTAAAACCTTAGATTAGCTACCTTTTATTTGATATCATTTTTTTGAAAATATATCAATTAACCTGCTCATTGTGGGGGATTTAAAATGCAACTTTTTTACAAAAATTAACTTTTTCAACTTAATTTTTGAAAATGTTCCGGAAATACTGCGTCCTTCAAACATATACCAAATTAAAGCTTATTTTATGTACTATAAAGTGAAAAAAAAAAATTTGTCCCGACACTTTTTTTTCTACATTTAAACGGCTGCCGTAGTTAAAAAAACACTTTTTTTGTGTTAAAATTTTCGATTTTCGATTTTAAATTTTCAACTTAAAAATGCTANGTTTTCGATTTTTGATTTTAAATTTTCAACTTAAAAATGCTATAACTTTTTGAAAAATGTATATATCATGACAAATTTTTTTTCTAAATACATTATAAGTACATCTTTCATTTGACATACTTTTTATTAAAATTTCCCCTTATATAGGAGGCGTTCAAAACTTGAAATATTGTAAAAAACATAGATCTTTTTCAACTGAACTTTTGAAAATGTTCCGGAAATACTGCGTCCTTTAAACATATATCAAATTAAAGCTTATTTTATGTACTACAAAATGAAAAAAAAAAATTTGTCCCGACGATTTTTTTTCTACATTTAAACGGCTGCCGTAGTTAAAAAAACACTATTTTTGTGTTAAAATTTTCGATTTTCGATTTTAAATTTTCAACTTAAAAATGCTATAACTTTTTGAAAAATGTATATATCAGCACAAATTTTTTTTTTCTAAATACATTATAAGTACATCTTTCATTTGACATACTTTTTATTAAAATTGGACAATTTCCCCTTATATAGGGGGCGTTCAAAACTTAAAATATTGTAAAAAACATAGATCTTTTTCAACTGAACTTTTGAAAATGTTCCGGAAATACTGCGTCCTTTAAACATATATCAAATCAAAGGTTATGTTATATACTATCAAATGAAAAAAAAAAATTTGTCCCGACATCTTATCTTCTATGTGCAAATGGCTGTCGAAAATTTTAAAAAAAATGTAATGTTTGTGATAAAAATTACCCTTTTATCGGGATGTTTTTTGTACTTAAAAACTGTCAAACTTTTTCAAAAATGAACAAATAAAAATAATATTTTTTTATTGAAACCTTAGATATTTTCCTTTAATTTGATATCATTTTTTTTTGAAAATCTAACACTTATTCTGCTCAAAGGGGGGAATTAAAATAGCAACTTTTTTACAAAAACTAACTTTTTCAACTTAATTTTTGAAAATGTTCCAGAAATACTGCGTCCTTTAAACATATATAAAATTAAAGCTTATTTTATGTACTACAAAATGAGAAAAAAAAATTTGTCCCGACGACCTATCTTCTATAGGCAAATGGCTACCGTATTCAAAAATATGCTATTTTTGTATTTTATTTTAATATAAGTTGATGTTGCTTTTGCAATTACTTAAAATTAAACATTATCTTCAGATTTGCATTGAAGCGTTTATTATAATAGTGATTTTAATCACTGTCAGATTAAATCTATACTGGACCCAACTATGCAATGTCTCCACTATGCCGCGACCCCACTGTGCTACCGTTTTTNCCCAACTATGCAATGTCTCCACTATGCCGCGACCCCACTGTGTTATCGTTTTTTAAAAAATATCTATAGGGAATTTTATGAGATTATTTTTGAAAAATCAAAAGGAATTACATATTATATTTATTGTGTAAAATTTATAGTTATTTTTTTATAAATAATTACTGTAAAAAAATACCCTTATAAACTAAATTTTGAGCTTTTTCATTTAAAAGATAATTCAATATTTTAGTATTATTTCAGTATACAAGAAAAATTCAGTTAAAAAATGTTAAATTTAAAACTTTGTTTTTTTGGAATCGCTTAATGGTGTAATAAATAGTATATCTCATAAAAATTAAGCTAGGGAAATGTAGTGTAATAACATAAATACCAGTGACAATCCTAAAATTTTTAACTAGACACCAAGTAGTACAGGAGTGTAGTTAGAGTGATAAGTGAATTGACCTCGTCTAATTTTTGTTTTTGTGGTCCGGGGTAAATTTTAAACAAAATAAAAAAAAAAACCTTGAATATAGAATGAATAAAATTTAGAAAAATGTATAAAGTAATCATTTATTTTCACAAATTTTTTATAGTAAATATAGCTAGAATTATTTAGTTGTCAATTATATAACTTTTATAAGTGACTAAATGTATGTAAATAAAAAAAATAATTTATTTAAGTTTCATAATTTGTTAGTAATTATTTTAATTTATTGCACAAACATTTTTTATAGTTTAAAAAAAAACTCAAATAAAAAAACAGATCAAAACAGTTGGCAAAAAAATATATTTTAAGAAAATATTATTTATTATAATTAGAATATTTTTTCAACTAATAAATATATGATATATCATAAATAGGTGAAAATATGTTAGAAAATATTTTAAATATTATTAAATTTAAGTATTTAAATATAAATGTTTTATCTTTAATAATAAAAAAAAACCATTACAGGGGGGTCGCGGCATAGAATGGACGTGGCTTAGTTGGGACAAGTATAGATGATATCTGACAGTGATTAAAATTACTATCATAAAAAACGCTTCGATGCAAATCTATAGATAGTGTTTAATTTTAAGAAATTGGTAGATTATTTCAAAACCTCTTATTTCTTTGATTATATCTTAATTAGTAGTTCTTTGATTTTAAATATAATATATGAATAAATACTAATTATAATTATTAAATTTAGTATGAAAATAAAAAATTAAAAAAAATTTAATAGATTTAATTTCTTATGTCTTATGAACTTTATTCTATGTCAATTAAATTATATAATATTCATGAAAGTCAATATATTCTCCTAATAAGATATTTTAAAATAAAATAAAATATAAAACCTAGAATTTTAATAGAAAAATAGCATATTTTTGAATACAATAGCCGTTTACGCATAGAAGATAGGTCGTCGGGACAAACTTTTTTTTTTTATTTTATAGTACATGACATAAGCTTTATTTGATATATGTTTAAAGGACGCGAATATTTTCAAAAATTAAGTTGAAAAAAATAATTTTTGTAAGAAAGTTGCTATTTAAAATCCCTCCCAAAGAGCAGGTTAAGTGTTAAATTTTCAAAAAAATAATATAAAATGAAAGGGAAATATCTAAGTTTTTAGTATAAAAAAAATTTATGCTGATTTGTTTATTTTTGAAAAAGTTATGGAAGTTTTAAGAAAAAAAAGTGAAAAAAATGACAAAATTTACCGATTTTTTAATTTGTAATTTTTTTGGATATTTTCCACATTTGCGGGGAACGAGGGAACAATTTTCAATTTTTAAGGGTAATGTCTTCAACTAGATACGATTTGTGATCTTTTGACGTATTGTTGAAAGAAATCGGTCTAGTGAGAGCTGAGAAAAAGTGGCAACAGACATAAAAAAAACACATCATAGTAAAATTAATACTTTCTCATCTTTGCATCGAAGCTAAAATCATTCATATTGTTTATGCTAAAAATCCTATGGCATATAAACTAAATTTGAATTTACAAACTGAAGTAGGAAACTTCGTCATTTAAACCTTTTAAGTAGAAAATTTTTACAAATATAAATAAATGCAAGATTTTGCAAGAGTATTGTGACAAAACTCACATTAAGAACAAGATTTTATGGACAAGGCCAAGAACAAGAACAAGACTGGACTTGCAAGACCATGACCAAGACCAAAACTGAGTTANAAATAAGCAAGACCAAGAACAAGAACAAGACTGGACTTGCAAGACCATGACCAAGACCAAAACTGAGTTAGCAAAGCAAGATCAAGACTTTTACAGTCTTGGTCTTGTTCTTGTTTTGCTCATCACTAATTAGATATTAAACTTTAAAGTTGCAAGTTGTTGAGTTAATATACATATGTAACACACAAGGAATTACAAATACAGGTATCTAATTGGTATTTTATGACATCGCTATCACAGATACGGAGCGTTTATTATCAATGGTAGTAAGGCACATTTTTTGGAGTCAATAAATACATCAACAGACAATACAGAAAGCATATCTCTTGATAATGTCATAATTGACAACAAATGCTGCATCTCTGTGATAGCGGGGCCATAAAGAACCATTACCAACTAATATAAACTTGCTATCTACGATATCAACTTTATTTTTTTAAATAGAAACATACATATTTACTTTACTTATAAAACAGAAAATTATGTAATTTAGAAAAAGACTGGTCGATAACAATTTATAGACCATTAGTTCAGAAGTTATTAACAAATTAAAGTATTGACTGGTAATAGGGCGATACCTGCTTTTTTTAACACTGGACATTTCCCTTTTGAATTACTAGTCCAAATGATGTTATTGATCAATGGTGTTCTTAATCACATAATTTTCTTTTTAATTGGCTATTGAAATATGTATGTTACCATTTAAAAAAAATAAAATGCACACCTCCATAACACATAAGGGGAAAAATGTATAATATTTTATAACAGTTACATTGAGTTACAAATGTAACTAAAAAAAGCCAAAATTGAAATTTACATAAAAATTATGAGAAATTGAGTGTTTACTCCTAATAGAATCTTTCTTTATAAAAGTTTATGATAAAATAACAAAGCTAAAAATTATATGTAATAATTACCTTCAGTGTTATAATCGTATTCTTCCTTGACATTAAAAGCTTTTATCACTTTATTTACTTTATCTTTATCATTATACTTTTTTACCAATACTTGCAAGCATTGTATTTGGATTGCATTAAGTCCGTAACTCTTTAAATATTTATATAATATATTTGTTAAAAAAAACAATTAAATATTTAAATAAATACTTACCATTGTATCGGTAAAAAAACATACTGAACAAAAGATTAGTATAGTTTTTAAATGCATTACAATGATTCTAAGAAAATAACAATTTAAAAATTAATTATTTAAATGTTTAAATTTTAAATGAATAATTTTACGTATGTTGTGTTGCAATTTATACTAAAATATTGCAAATATTAATTGTTTATTCTAAAATAATGTTTTTCGTAAATTTAGATTTTAATGTATTTAATATTACAACACTTAGACTTCATAAATCACATATTTAAAATTATTTCAATAATGATATCACCTAGTGTTTAATTTAAAAAAACTAGTGGATTATCCCAAAAGAAAAATGAACTCTTATTTCCTATTTTATATTTTGATTACAAATTTTATGATTTATAAGTGTAATATATGAATGAATATTATTATTGTAATTAAATATAGTATGAAATTTATATTTAATAATTTAGTATTGTAGTTTTTATAAAAGAGAAATTATAAAGAAGTTATAAAGTATTTGTCACTGTTATGGCAAACACGCATAAAAATTGAAAAGCTTGAAAAAAAACTTTTCATTTGTTATTAATATAAAAAAAATTGTATTGCTTTGTGCATTTTTAACATAAATGTGGCATGTTAAAGTATAAAAAATTAACATTTAAAAAACAATGATTTTTACTCAAAAATTAAATTTTTTGTTCAATTAGGCATTTCCCCATAGAAAAAAAGGTGTCAGTACAAAATTTTTTTTTTTAAACTTATAGAATTTTTTATAAGCTTTAGTTTGTCGTATATTTAGACTTCGTAGTATTTCTGGAATGTTTTCAATAATTAAGTTGAAAAAGTTTAACTCGTGTGTAAAAACTGTTATTTTGAATCCCTCTCTGTAGGCAGGTATTCAAAGGAAAATATTTTAGGTTTTAATATATAAATGAATTATTTTGATTTGCACATTTTTCAATATGTTGAATTGGCAATTTTTAGAAAAAAATATGTCGAAGTTTCCGATTTAAAAAATTGTAATTATTTGTAATTTGGGGTATTTTCACCATTTACGGGTATCGTGGGAAAAATTTGTAATTTTTGAGGGTAAGGTCTTCGACTAGATACGATTTGTGATCTTTTGACGTATTGTTGAGAAATATAGAGTGCTGAGGAAGAGTAATGACAGACACAAAAAAAAAATTAAAAAACAAAAAAATATATAAAAAAATTTAGATATTTTCTATCAGCTCTTTTTTGAGATTATTACTAATTAGTAAAAGAAGAGTAACTACTTATAACAAAATATAAACATAAAAATATTGTTAAGTTATTATGAAGTTAGGAAATATTATAAACAGAAAATTTATGGAAAAAGTTCAAAATTTCAATTGGTTTTACATTTATATCGTGATAATTTATTTAAATAAAAATCATAGTAATCATTTCCATATAATTCACGGTGTTTAAAAATATTCTACATTTGAAATAATTAGCACATAATTAACTTTTTTAATCATTTAAAAATAAGCAAAAACGTTTAGGTTAAAATGAAATTAAACAATACATAAGAGGACGAAATCATAAGTGGTACTAAAACATGTCCGACTAGGTCATAGCTTGACCTAATATTTAGGAATATTTTCGGATCATCGTAAAAACTTGACCAGGTTGGTTTACTACAAGGGTAATATAACAATATTATTAAACGTAAATTATTATTGTTTCAGAATTTTATATCAACCAAATAAGGAAAAAAATCCTCAATAATAATAGATACAATTAAGAATTTCTTACCGATTTAAAACAGAATAGATTTACAATTATATTACAAAACGGTAAGTCTCTAATTTTATCAATGTAAATGATTATTTTTATTACAATTGATTAATAGAAATATAACATTTTTTAACGCGCTTTAACTGGTTTTCGAATACCGGGATAACTAAGTGATCAAATTTGGGAGAGTTAATTTAAATTATCTTTTCAATAACCTAATCTAACAGGTAGACTAAGATCTCCTAGTTTTACGAAATCATAACAAATAAAACAATACATTGAAAACTCGATACAATTCTACACAAAGGTAGAGATTCGCATATGAACTAAATAATAACTAAATCCTTCAAATAAGTGTAATAAATATTTGTTTTTAATTTTAACGTACGAATGAATGGTNATAATAACTAAATCCTTCAAATAAGTGTAATAAATATTTGTTTTTAATTTTAACGTACGAATGAATGGTGAAAAAATATATATTATTTAAAAAAATACGTAAGAAGCAGATTGTATTATGTGCAGTATATCAATATAAATAATTATTAAATATTTAATAATTCAATTAAGTAAAATTAAAACTATTTAAAAATATTATTAATTTAAAAAAAACTAAAAAATATTAAAAATATTATACTTAAAGCCACAAAGAATTAATGAAAAATCGCGGATACGTATTTCGGAAACAATGTTACCATTATCAACGCTAAACACATACTGACACATACTTATAATTACATATAAAACTATATAACCGACCGAAATTAATTTTTACTAAAATAAAAATTTCATATAATTCTTACTAACAATAATTTAAGTATATGGAAAATGGAAAAATTTATTCTCACTTCTATAGTCGTAGGGTAGTCAATTTTTTTGATGGTGCTAAATTTAAATTTCCTCCCTCCAGAAAATAATTTTCATATAGCAATGTATACAATATATCTGAATTTGTAGGGGGATAATAGAAAATTTGGAAGGCTGAACCCTCAAAAGCCCTCTTAGCTCTTCTTACGCTCAATACCCTCATGATTATATCTACAATATCTAATATTTCAAAAAATGAAACTTCAAATATAGTTATATATTTGTTCATCTATTTATGAAACTTTAGAATGCGTCAATGGTCGTTGTTTGAAGGAGAATAATCATAAATCATATAAACAAAAGAAAACTTTTTTTTACTAAATGTTAAACAAGTGATGCAATATTTAAATATACATATTTCATTTTACCAATAAATTTTCTCACTGATACAACAATTTATAAAATATTTTCAATTTTTTTTAAATTTTATAGAAGGATTTAATACTGGTACTGTCCTATACAGTTTTATAATTTTTTATTTTTGTAACTTTTTACGATGATGTGACATTTTAATTTATGGAGAAGATGAATGCAATGAAAAATAATTATAATGATAAAAAGAGAAACGACTCACCACTAATCTATGTTTATTAACTATAGATTAGTCATTTTCTAAATTAGATTATTATCTATCATATAAGATATTTAAATGTATTGTTCCATTTGAAAAAATTAAGTTTTCACCTTTAAAACTAAGGAATGGACCTAAATACTATATAATAATTAATAAAATAAATCAAGAAGCATTTAAAACTAAAATATTTCAGAAAAATGCTTGACATTTTTATTATATTGGTAGTAATCTAATGGCTAACATTAAAATAATTACTGTGAATTAATTACTTTAATATTTCCAGCTAATAATTTTATGCATCGTATATATATCTACTAGAAAACTTTCCAGGGATCTTACTAGTTTACTACGTGGTTACTCCAAACATTATTTAAAAGCAGAGATCGGATAAATAATTTTAATTTTTATTAACGTTTGTTAGTTAAAACATTATTTGTTTATTATGTTTTACGGATTGTGGTAATTAAACGTTTTAACTGGGCATACTGTCCCTAGTTCTATTATTTTCTTACAAGACATTCCATTGTGCTATAAGGTGAATGAGTAAAATTATGTAAACGCTAATGATTCCAATTATTTTTCAAAATAAATAACACTATAATTTTAGCAATGCAAAAATGGTATCAATTAAGGCAGTAAACAATTATAGGACGAATTGAAATTATTATTAAGTATAGAACATTCATGCGTTCAGGAAAAAATTTTATTGTTGGGGTTAAAGGAGACTGACCCTAAGTCTCTTATAAATACATTTTTAAGTTAAAAACTGATATTTGGAGCACCCTTTAGAGATTTTTAATTAGTTACTTTTAGGTACATGTTTTTCTCAATTGCAAAAAAAAATGCATAAAATACATCAAAATTTTATTTCTAAATAAAATATATTTTTCTTCATTTATATTTTATAAAATTGTCACTTTTATATCTTAAATGACAACATACATAATTAACTGACTTATAAATAGAAAATGTTCTAGTTATGAAAATGTCTGGTCGGTAACAACTTTTTGGCCAATATTTTGGAAGTTGACATGTTTATAACTTAACGGGGGAATGAGTTTTGACATTATATGAGAAGCAATAAAAATAATAACACCCGCGTCTTACTTTCAACCATTTCTACTAAATGTCAATTACTTCCCAAATACTGGCCCAAATTTTGCTATCGACACAACCATTTTCTTAGTTAGAACATTATCTATTAAATTAGTTAGCTTTTATTTATAGTTATAGCTAATTATGTGTAGTGCATTTGAAAATATAAAGTTGACATCATTATACGATATAAAGGATGAACATGAAAAATACTTTATGATTGATAAATTGAAAGAATTATGTACCAAAAAGAAACCAATTATAATTTTTATATTTTTATTAATTAAATATTTTACTATAAATGAAAACAATCCAACCTCTATGTATGTGTATGTGTTAAAATATATATTTTTACAGTATTTTCAAAGATATTCTATCATTGTCTGTCTACCTGTAATCTTATTTAATATATTTTTTATTAAAATTATTATTTTTGCACATTCGTCATTATTTTCTACCAGAATCAAAATTAAACTATGATACATATAATTTGTTTGAATTGGAGTTTATATTACTTAGAAAAACATAATAAATTATGAGATCAACTTAAAATTGATATTAACAATAATAAATTCTAAAATACCAAAAGTATAATTTATAGTTTGGCAGTTTATTAATTTAAATAATCCATTAATCATAAAATACCTGCTTCATAGTTTTTTCATCTCTTGATTATAAATATATTTTATTATATTGTTATTCAAATAAATTTGCAATATTAACAATGTATATAATATTGTTATAATTTATTAAGAATCTTTAAAAAATCAACTCCAAGTAAAACTCATTTTTTTTTTTTAAAAATTAATTAAAAAAATTCTCAAATTGGAAAACAAAAATTTC